CGTCTACCTTGCCTCCGGACTCGTAGGGATTGAGCTGTCACATTCCCATGCAAAGAACCCTGAAGGCGGCTCTTCCTCCTTTGCACAGCTATGCGTGAACAAATGCCAGCATCAACAGCCAGCTTTTGCTATCCTTCACATCGGGGTATCGCTCTTCGAAGAGCGATGCCAAAAGTTTTGCTGGTTGAGTGAGCTGAAGATTCATGAGCACATACTTGAGATGAGGTTTCCAAATAGGAAGATCTCTCGCCCGGGACGTGCCTACATGTTTTGTGCAAAATGAATTGTGAAGCCCTGTATCAGGGGTGCCAAGGTAGAATTGTCTATGCTAGAAAACTACCCGCCATACTTCAGGGTTGCGGAGGCTCAGAAGCTTGGCTTCACACTGCTGCGGTATCTTTGAGAATTATGACAGGCACTTTGCAGGTTGAAGGCTGTTTTGGGGAGGCTTCTCCAAGATACTGGGCTTCTCCCCGGACCACTAGAACCCGCCTGAACCCTAAACCCTATAAAGCCCGGCGCGCAAGAAAACCTACAACCAACACTGCAGTATGAGGCCTTGCCAACATCCGGGACAAACTGGATTGCTGCTGAGGAATTTAAATGCAGTTGCATTACTAAGGAAAATCCCATTATGTACTGCATATCCATGATATGGTAACTTAACTTAGGTTCCTTCACAGCAACACAGATAAACTCCGAGCGTTTCATGGTTCAGGCCACGCATGAGCCACAGTCTAATCTCCTAGAATCACCCTTAATAAGCCCTAAATAGTCCCCTGTATAGTCCCATGTATAATCCCCTTCAAGGAGTTTAAGCTAAATAGTAGTTTCCGCTTTCTTTTCCATTATCCTTATATAATCCTCTATATAATCCCATTAAAGGAGTTTAAGCTACACCTCAGATCTTGGAACTGCTGGAGGTCTACACGACGCCACGCAACCTGCAGGAAAATCTGGGAATTTCCGACTCAGAGGGCTTTCCTTCTAGGGTTGAGATTTGAGGTGCAGGGGCTATTCGGCCTAGACTCGACGAATGTGATGCCTGGAATTTTACTGCTGCGGGCTGAGGATGTCCAGGTTTTCGGGGCATACGGGTTCTGCGTATTCTGAAAATCCTGCGACCTATACCCCATACAGAAATTCGCGCAACAGGAAGGGAGATATGCTGGCCGCTCATGCGCTGAAACCGGTTGCTGAACATGTTCGTCTGGATTTTTTCTTGTCTCAGGGCGCTTGGGCCTTTGACAGGGTCACAAGGGACGTCTTGAAGGTTTGCGGAGGAATATGTTGGGAAGCAGTTCACGGGCTCCGGTCTTCAGAAGGCTTGCGGCAAAGACCGAGCTAAGATGCCCCCTTAGATAAAAGGATTTTGGTAACCCCACCCCCCAAAATCAGGACCCTATGACTATCATATGATGGCTATTATGGGGCCCTTATGTTGGGGGTCGGGGTTACAAGAATCCCTATATTATTAATGAGCTGGTAAGCTAGCTGGTATAGTTGTTGCCTAAGTTGTGGTTTCAACAAGGGGCAAGATCTAATGCGCTGCGTTGGCTGGGAAACCACGTATAGGGACCCTGTGGCATTGTATCATCCTCGTAACTACTAAGGCCGAACAATGATGATCTCAACGCGAATGCCAAGGACCTCCCGATGCCGGAACCTCTGCGGTAACTAATTAGAATAGTAGTAGTAATTATGATAAGAATATACTACCACTAAACATTTTAATGATAAAGTTAAGACTGAGTAGTATCAATTTCATAGTAGGAATAGCAATAACAAGAAGCCCAGGATTGTTCCAGTCTCGCTGTCCTCCAAGCGTGGCTCGAGCGCCAAGAATGTGGAGGAAGCCCTAGCTAGACCTACTGGTTTAGTGGGGAATAAGGATCTTTCGGGATTTTATGGGGATCATATTCCGATATTCCCCCACTAAGAACCAGTAAGTGAAGGGAAAGAGCGAGTCCATCGCTTTGCGAGGGACCCTCAACCCAAGAGAGCCTGGCTAGGAGGGACAGGGGCCCCTAAAACAGCCCAAATAAGTCTGAAAATGCAGCAGCTGCCCGGGATGAATATCCCATCCCCTACATCTCAGCCACTTAGCACGATCCAAACTTGTAGCCCTTGTTGTCCCTTGACCCCCCTTAGCAGGGAGAGCATGCAAAGCCTCAGAGCCCCTACTCTGATAGGCACGCCGGGGAGGTGTCGAAGCCCATTTTCGCGTCGGAACAGTAATAGTAATAGGAATAGTAATAGTAATAGTAATAGTAAATAAAAATAAGAATAATTATGGTAGTAGTAGTAGTAGTAATAGTAATAATAATAGTAATAGTAATAATAACTTCTCAAAAAGGGGGGCATACACGGTGGAACGATCGTCTAATGTGCGTAGGAAACTCTATAAATGGCACTAATCTTGGGCACCCACGAGTAGGGATTACAAGGACCATGAAGGGAGCATTCCGGGACTGACTCGGATTACAGAAGTATTGCTTTTGGTAGATTCGCACATAGCAGTGGGAGACCTGAATGTTGTAATTAACAGGCTTTCAAGGCGAATGATGTTCTGAAGAAGATGAGGGAAGCCACCGAGTCTTGCTGGGTTTTGCGCTAGGTTTAGGTTCAGAAGATTGGGTGTAAGAAGCAAGAAGGGTTCACTCCTTGTAAAGGGCTATTGAAGCCTCGCGGGAACATACAGGCCCTAAACCCTAAACTCTAAACCCTAAACCCTAACCTGAACCGAGTGGCTGCACCATGGGGATGGTCAGGAGGGTGAGTTTGTCCCGAAAGTTTCGACACACCCCGGCAACAAATTCTTGAACTTGGGGGTTGAGATCTAGGTTTACCTTAACCTACCAAAACCTTTTTTGTAGGTTTCCTATAAGTTCTAGCGTTTATAATAGGACCCTACAAAAAGTAGGTTGTGGTAGGTTCAGGTAGGGTTTAGGGTTTAGGGTGTAGAGTTTAGGGGGTTTGTCCACGTCTAGTAAGTTTAGGGTCTTGCAGCATGAGGCACGTGTCTTAACCCTAAACCCGACTAATACATGGAGGATGGTCTGCTGGCTTGGGGAAATTGGATATAAGGGCCTAGGCAATCAACATGAGTTTGAGCGAAATACCATACTTGAATAAGTCTCTGCCTCTCAGTTTGGTGGTTCGCAACCAGTTCCCTTAAGTTTGGGCTCAGCGCTTCTCATCAAAAGAGTACGAGAACGCTCTGCACTTATGACTTCTGAAGAAGATTTGGTACTAGACAGGAAAGTGTCTGGTCAATATGAACAAGGAAGTGATTGCACTGAATCTCAAATCCAATTCGTGTTTGTGGTGGCCCTGCTACACCTTGAAGTCACATGGGAATTCTCCAAAATTAGGGGGTACCCTTTTGGGGGCGCCCCATAACAAGGATTGTAGTTCTTGAGGGTCTAATACAAAGAGAACTGGGGACCTCATCTGCAATCCAAGTAATTGGCTCCAGAGAGGGCCCCCAAGTATAGGGCATACTCATGCTGTCGCTGACAGGTACCCTGACCCTAAACCCAGTCCTCCTACATTGAGACAGAAAAGGCACGAAGCCGTACGACCAGGACCCGCACACTGAACTAAAAAAAACACAAGCGCACTCCATGCAAGCAGTCCCCACATTACAAGCAAGGACTAGGACCAGAAGATGTTTTGAGAGACGTGACTTTCTTAGATTTTTCCCATCTGTTTTTCTAGGACTGCGGCTGTTTATGACAGAGGGGTTGCTCGGAAAGCCACAACAAACCCTAAACCCCAAACCCTGAGCCCTATAGCAAGCCAGGAGATCATTCTCCAGCCCCAAGCCAAGTGCAAGAGTAGCAGGCATGGGCTATCAGTATAGGGTTTAGGAATCATGGTAGGGTTTAGAAATACTATCCCCCAATAATGGAGAGTCAAATGGATAAACACATAAAAAACGAAATGAAAGCTCCATAAGGTCCATAAAAGGTTATATATCTGTATAATTTCTATATATAATATGTAGGTTTGATGGGGCATATAGTGGGCTAGCCAAGGGCACCGCAAACAGGGACCTGTGCGCACAACCCCACAGTACAGCCAACAGCGGAACGGAAGACTCAGGCCTCCAGATGCCCATGCCTGCATGGAGAGACGGTTTTAGGGGTTTAGGGTTTAGGGGCCTAGTGGCTTAGGGGTTTAGGGAATACTGCATCATGTTGCTGCTATTATCATTCTGGCTAATACTATGACCACCACCACCACCACCACCACCACCACCACCACCACCACCACCACCACCACCAGTACTAGTACTAGTACTAGTACTAGTACTAGTACTAGTACTAGTACTACTAGTACTACTAGTACTACTAGTACTACTAGTACTACTACTACTACTACTACTACTAGTACTACTACCACCACACTTAAAGGGGAGCCCCGGGCGGGTAGTGTCTCATCA